GATTGGAATCCTGAAAGGAAACGGAAAAGATTAAGCCAAAGAAAACATTGGACCAAGAAAAGGAAGCAGATACCGAAATGATGAATAACAACTGGAAAGAACTGAAAAGGCTTGACGGAGATAGAGTTGGATGGAGAATGCTTTTGAACGACCTATGCTCTTCCACGAGGAGTAATAGGTGTAAGTAAGTAAGTATTCTTATTTTAACCGCATGAAATCCTATATCATTTACTGTCGTCAATTTCAGTACACTAAGTGCCATTCATATACTTGAAATTTCCGAACATTTTTAGTGATTCCTTAATTAGATAGGAGTTATAAGTTTCTATTAATCCCTAAAAATTCCTTCATCATGACACAGTTTTACTGAATTTCCTAGAAAATTAGTAATAGTTCTCTAATGGAATACTTTCTAAGCACCATGGAATAAGATTATATACTTGTTCCTAATAAGTAATTCCAATAGTGTTTGTCACAAGCAAGCCATAAAGTACATCATCTTATTCAACTCCTCTACTTTACAGAAGTCAGTATTCAAAATTACTTAATATCTGTTATTCTATAAGTTTTACACGAATATATTTCAACCTTGAAGTTTTAACTAAGCTGAAAATATTTTGATTTAAAGTTATCAAAAAGCTTTGTATAATAATGTAAGTTATTTGAAATATGATATGTTAATAGTTAGTTGTACTGTATTTCTTACTTATTAGTTTCAATAGTATTTCACTTACTATCAACCACAAGCATTCAAGATACTTGGTACAACTTTTTAAACACTTTTTTTGTAATGTAATTCACACAAATTTCAAAACAACTACATCATTTCATTCTTTGTTCTTGTTGATGAATTTAAACAAAGTTTAGTCATAGATGGAATACAACAGAGATTTTGCTTTTTATACCATTTATTTTTTTGTGAAAAACATAAGAAGAATATAAGTCAGACGTATGACAGGAACAATTTGTCAAGCTGTCCAAATTTATGTTTTCTGCTTGTACTCTTTATTTAACATAGACATTCACAGACACATGATACAGCATAACGTCTTTGTGGGAAAAACATCTACAAACACATGGACATTATTTGAACCTGAATAGTTTTGTTTTTATTCTTCTTCCTCTTACAAGTACATCTATACACATACACACAATTTACAGCAAAGTAAACGCGGATACCTAAGCCACATTTCGGAACATCTAAAGAATGGAAGTGAAATTTCATCAAAATAATCACCCACCATAAGGTATCACATTGATTTTTAACCGAATCTGAATTAAAACAATCTCCCTTAGTATCGTTATTAGTGTGAAAAGAGAAAGTAACTTAAAAGTTCTACTTTACTGATATTGTATTGCTAATAGATACAATTATGTATTTCTCCAATTTTTGAATTAACGTAGAGACAAGTATACACGAAATGTTATTTTTTTTACAAGTAACACTAGACTAGTAAATGACAATTTTCAACACTAAAAAGGTGTGATTTTCCTATTTCTTTAAACCGGATAAGAGAAAGTATCTTGTTTTATATTTCTTCCTCTGGTTTCATCTGTCAGGTGAAAATAATTTTTAGGGGATAAAAGGCGGGGTGGAAAAAAAGGGAGAAAGAAAACAAAACAGACTACATTTTGCAGAAAAATTGTTTTTGGCAATACTAATACGACAATAACAACTATTAATGTTACTAATACTACTATTACTTTAACCACCACTGTCTTTGCTATTGATAACATCAATATCATGGTCAGAAAATGGAGGCGATTCCGAAAAATGTAAAGACATTTGTTTTTTTTCTCTTTATTTTATATGAAATATTTTACATTCTGTTTCTCGCTTTAATTGATACCCCTAATGTAAGTGAATATACATATGTATATACAAATATGTGTGTGTATCTATGCCTATAAGAAAGTGAATTTTCAAGTGTTACCAAATGTAGTTTATTTATCTGATGATTAGACTGTACTTTTGAAGAAAAAAATTAAAATTAACACTTATAAATATTAAAGTAATATTAATTGAAAATCTTTAGAATTCCGAAAAGTTTATTAATTCCAAAGAATTATTTTTCAAAAGGGGTTTTGTAGAGACTTTAGTTGAAATCATGTGTCAATTGAAGCTAGATCACCATGGAAAACCTGAAAGCACTGGACGGCCGTTTCGCCCTAGTATGGGGACTCCTGAGTGGTAGTGCGCATCCATGATCCCGCCCCCACGAGATTTGAGCCCAGGACATATTAGTCTCTATCAGTCTATTTTTTGTCGGAAAAAAGTTTTTTGGTAAATCGATTTTTTGAATAAACAAATTCGAATGTAATTTGACACCTACTTAATTATATCCATTAACACAATATATTTTATATACTATAAAAGTCTTAAAAGGTAATAACTATACCTGAATTATACTTAAATTTTATTTATAAACATTAAAAGCTTTTTAAACACTAAATAAGTTGTGAAAATGAGTATACCGCCTTAATCACTTTTTACTATTATTATTTTTTTAATGAGAATTATTGATTTACTTAATGTTTGTCTCATGTTAAAATGTAAAAGATCGATTTAGATAATTATTAATGGACGATTCCTAGTTTAAATCGTTATGCATCGTGTAGTAAAGGTGAACACTGTTAAGTTTGCTACTTGATTAACGCAGAATACGGTTTACAACTACGACACTAGAACGTTGGAGTTTTACCGTCACAAATCAGGAGAAAAACTGAAAAATCGTTTATTTGGTAAGAATTGAAATGTACAAATAATAACGGGTATTTATAGATATTAGCATTTGTTAAATTAATTCGGCCATTCCGCTAAAAGACATATTATGCTAATGTCTAATTGTAGCGTACCACGTTGATATTCTAGAAAGCTCCATCATGCTCTGATTAGATGGAAACTCTTCGGCTCCCTTATGGTTTTTGGAAGCTTCGTTGTAGTCCTCGGATGTCGACTAAACAAACACAGTTGAAGACGACTGATTATATCTAGCACAAAATTATAGCGTTGCTTGGTAAAACAGGAAAACCATACTTCAATACTTCATTTGCAAAATGTTGATTAATTGTTTCAAACTTCACTGTTCCTGCATTTCTGTACCAATTGCTTTCTGTGCCTGTTCTTCCCTCCTCGATCTTCTCAACCTTCTTCTGCCAAACATTCTATTCCTGACCAGTGCTATATACTACCGATGTCAACACAAGTAGCACACATCACAATAAGATTTAACAAAAAGGTGAAAAACTAAGTGAGTAAACAGCTCTCACATGAAGATAGTTATGTCATTAATAGTAGTATGTTAGTAAGTATTATTATATAAATAGGTAACATTTAATTAGAGTAGTAGTTTAGGTATTTATGAAAATAATAAGAAAATAATATTGATGAAAAAAATCAGCTCCAATCAACAGTGAAATTCATACAAAATTTATTAACGGTGTAAGTTTAACATTGAGTACCAAAAACAAAATGCTAAAGATCATTTGTTAATTTTTAGTTTTCTATGCTTATTCAATATCTTATTTAAGCAGTATAATCTATTATAAATAATTTAAGTAAATTTTATTTAAGAGTAAATGTTATCTTAAGTATTTGCCAATGAACTTTAATGTGAAAGGATTACAAAAGTTAGTGTAACTGTGACAATGATGCTAATAGTATAATGATAATTCTTAGAAATGTTTCATACTAAGTGAGTAGTATATAAAAACTTAATTTTTAAAAAAATGTGAATACTGTATATGTGAAAATTATATTTAAAATAATCTTAGCTAACTTCTCTGGACTTCTTCAGGTTAATAGTCAAAATCAAAATCACTAAAGAAATACATAATGTTTTAACATTTAAATGTATTTATTATTCTGAAGAAGTTCAGAGAGAAGTTTGCTGGACGAAACGTTGAAAATATTTTAAATTTCAATCACTGAGATTATTTTAAATATAATTGCTCGGTACCCATTTATTGTCAAACTATTCGTTCTAATCTTAACGAATATTCGTGCCAATAACTTTATTTCATAATCTGTTGTCAATGAAGTAGGAAAAAAATATTTTTTCCTGTTTTTATTTATCAGCAAATCATAAAATAAAGAGTGAATTTCATAGTAGTTCAAATGAAATTTGAATTTAATTTCATCTCATTTAAAACATTTACATACATTCTATCTAGAAAATAATAAACAAATAATTAGTTCATTATGTAGAAGGTATTTTTTGTGATGTTTATGTGTTACACTACTTGGTTCTTTGTTGACACTCTTAACAAGTTGGATTGGTCATGTTACTTGTCATCCTAATTACTTTATATATATATACATTATATATTTACTACCTAGATTTCCTTTGTGTGAGTATAATTTGGTAGAATGCTATGCTATCAAGATACTTTCGGTGTAATTCATGTATTGTCTAGATAATAATCGTTTAATGAATAAACAATTCGCTTAGTCCATTATGTCAGTTTGCTGTAGAGGTATTTGTTTTATTAATATTTTCATTAGCGATATAATATTTATTTACTATATCCTTAAGTAAAATTCAATTATTCACAAACTTTGCAGCCCATAAATCTACTGCATGATCTTTTCTTAAGCAGTCGAATGAACTCCACCCGAATCTCCCCAAAATGTCTCAATAAGAGAACAGAAGACATTTCCTGACAAGGAAGCTTTCTGTTCCCAGAGGAAATAAAAAAATTGATACAGCACTCCTATTTGTATAGTAAAAGAAATGTTTATGGGGATATATAAAATAGAAAAGTGTGGTATTATGAGTTGAAGGGTATCAGGGACATATTCATTCCTCAAAACTACAATTTATTGTCAAAGAAAAAGTAATAAATAACTTTGGCCTTTTATCATCCAACCTTTTTGAAATAACAACAGTACATGCATTACTATCGGTGTTGGTTTGAGATCCACGTTGCTTGTAATAGTGAATAAAATGGTTCTAGAGGCTGTTTGATTTACTTAAATCTCGCATATTTCTTCTTTCTAGGACGGAGAAAAGATTGATTAAATTTGAGCTACATTTGATTGATTCGATCCTGAAGGAAATTGCAGGACAGCTGAGATGTTACCTGATATTTTGATTGTTAACTTCGACTGTGAGTTATTTAAGGTATATTTGGGTAGCGTATAGTGATATGTTCATTGATTTAATTTCTTTAATTACTTTGTTTTCCAAGCATTTTGAGCGATACTATATGGCTGCGACATTCATATTTAAATTACATTTTCTGCCTAGATCCTTTTTGTGTAAATATGATTTCGCAGAATATTATGCTATCAAGATATTAGTGTTCTCACTACTTTTAGTTGAGAAATTTTATGTTTTAAGTTAAATCAGTACAGGAAATATTTTTATTTATTTATAATTAAATGAATAGTTTTAATAATGATTCAGCCTGATATAAATAATAACGATAATTTGCGTCCAGTAGAGGATTCTCACCACAAAGTATAAATATTTTTAATAAGTTCCTGTTTAACGAGCACCGTAATTTCTAAGGTTTGGAAGTTAACATAAAAATAACTTTTCACAAGGTAAGCATTAATCAATCTACCTCAAACACAAAAAAGTTTAACATGATGTACCGTGTATGTCTAATAAAATATTTTACAGCATTTTTTTGTCATACTTTACACATATGAATTCCGACGTCATTTCGTGTTGTCTCTTCACATGGCTCATCAAAAATAGAATGATGAGTCTGTGTTGTAAGAATCATCATCAACATCACTTCATGTAGAAAAAGAGAAATTTTAAAGAATTAACGTGTCAAATAACGTAGATCACCTTTATATGATTCAGGATTATAGAAATATCAATATAAATTAACAGTTTACCATCTGCAAAGTAACAAAACATTTAAATTCCAATAAAGAAATATACAACAAACTGTTATGATCACATATCGCTTAAAGACAAAATGTGACTATATCCAGTAGAATCATATAACTTTTTATATTTCCGACCAATAAATCTATCATTCAACTGTTCTACATTCATTTTACAGCTTGTCTAGAAAAGAAAAAAAATAAAAACACGAAAAATTCATCTCCCTCTCAAAAAACAAAAATAAAATTAAAATTAAAATAAATAAATGCGTAAATAAAAAAGTAATTTAAACAATGAGTCAGTTCTTAAAAAAAAAAGAAGAATAAATGAAAATAAAATAAACAATGGATAATTAAATCATCACCTGTTTAATTTCACATGGAAATTTAAAAAAGAAACAATATGGGAATGATTTAAACAAAAGCTTTCTTTACCTAATAAAATAAAAATGCAACTATGATGTATGCGAATAAGTTTAATTGGATTATTTATAGTTAGTAGTTTATATATATATATATAACTTTATTCTTGTTTACTAACTAATTTGTACAGCTCATTATAATGTTGATTTACTCCTTGTAAACAATTCTTCAAATCTAAAAAAAGAAAAAACAAAAAGTGAACAAAATATTTTCTTCATTACTATTTATATTCATTGTTATTAAGTCTTTATTATAATGGAATCTGTTGATTATTATTATTGATGAAGATATTGAAAGTTTTATGAACAGAATTATTCATGTAAATGAATAGATGGAAAAGAGTGAAGACTAGAAATATTTAATAATCAGAAAAGGTTTTGTGGAGAATGTAATAAACTGATAGTTGGATTCATAAGTCACTATAGAAAACCTGGAAGCATTGGATGGCCGTTACGTCCGTTTGTGAGACTCCTTAGTAGTGCGTAACCACCATTCCGCCCCTCGAAATTCGAACCTAAGACCAATCAGTCTTCACAAAACCACTTCTGGTAATAATCATCTGCTCACTAATGACTGGCTTCAAGAGGCATTTCCTGGAGTTCTAGTGAGAAGCAGTGACCAGTGGAGTTCAACCAGGTCTGTTGTGAGATATCAGCTCACTGAAGACAATGGTGTACGGTGGCGCAATTTCATGGATTAGTTGAAGTTAGAAATTAACGCCGTTGAATGCCGGCTCAGTGGTCTAGAGGTTAAGTGTTTATGCGCGAGACTGATAGGTCCTGGCTTAGAATCTCGTGGGGGTGGGATCATAGATGCGCATTGCTGAGGAGTCTAATACGAGGACGAAACGGCTGTCCAGCACTTCCAGATTTTCCATTGTTGTCTAGCTTCAATTGACTGATGAATTCAACCATAAAACTATTTAATTATAAGAAAATAACAGTAATCACAACGAGAATGTTTAAAAAGAGAACAATGAAAATAGATAATAAGTATTTATTGAATATATTATATCAGTTTCTTAAAGGTAAATAAAAAATTAATTTTTTTGCTTACTTCCATAATTTATCGCATGCACCATATGTCTAAACTTCAGATCCCTACTTAATTCATATGAGTAGTTAGATAAAACGTATGGTAATACAATGTTTTACACTAGTCACAACAGAATATATAGCAATCTGGTCATATCTTATGATTTATAGATGATCATGGTAAAATACAACACTGAATTACTAATTCATGGTTAATTCAATTTTATGATCACTTTAACTGGGATATTTCAAATTCTCTACTGACAATTCTTTAAAAAACCAAGGATACTAACAACGACTAAAATACACATTCTTCGTAGATACGACATAAGCCATGTCATTCGTATAATATATCGTTTACAAATCAATGTTTATTAAGATTTAACTGCTACCATGGATCAAAAATAACCAAAGAGTCCTTCGTAATTCTTTTCAAAGAATACAGCTAATCAAACAAATGACCTTAGTTATGCTATAAAGACATTTTATTTTCATTGTTCTTAAAGACTGAAAATCTGTTTTAATAGTTGAATTCATGAGTCGATCTAAGCAAGACCACCATTGGAAACCTGGAAGTACTTGACGATCGTTTCGTCCTAGTGCGGGACTCCTCAGTGTCAGAGCGCATCCACGGTTCCAGACACGGGACTCAAATTCGCGACCTTTGGTCTCTCGCGCGAATGCTTGACCTTGAGACAACTGAGCTGACATTCATCGGTGTTAATGTCTAACTTTAGTCGATCCATGGATGATTACGCAACCATTTATTCATTACCTTTGGCAGATACCAGTCTCTACCCGACACGGAGAGGACTTCACTGGTCACGACTTCTCACTAGAGCTCCGGGAAATCATCTTGAAGCCAGTGACTGGTGAGCACATGAAAATCCCGCAAGAGGGATGTATGGATGCGCAGTGCCAATGAGGAGTCCCATACTAAGACGAAACGATCGTCTAGTACTTCCAGGTATTCCATGGTAATCTAGCTCCAAATGACTCATGAACTCAAGTATTAAAATTACTACAATCTCCACAAACCCCATTCTGATCATAAAAGTTTGTTGGTATAATTTAGGCAGTCATAGGGGAACCGAAATCTCTTATAAATAATTCATTAAACATTATGACAGTACAAAAATTAAAGATTAGATTTATTCAAATAATAAAACAATTATTTAATGGACTAATAAACCTAAAAACATTGTATTGATCGATGTTTGAAACAGTTGAATAATAAATGTCGATTGCTAGATTTTAACAATGACATGCATTAATCATTCACTTTCAGATCAAGTCATCAATCAGAGTCGTTTACACATTACTTTCATGCTTTCTAATGTTATAGTTATAAGTTAAACGATATATATATATATATATATATATATATATATATATATATTACTGATTGCCGCCTTTATAAGTAAGCAGAAAAATACATCTATGTGTAATCCTTAGTTATCTGGGTTTGAATCTCGCGGAGGGCGAGATCGTGGATGCGCACTGCTGAGGAGTCCCACAATAGGACGAAACGGCCGTCCAGTGCTTTCAGGTTTTCCATGGTGGTCTAGCTTCAACTGACTCATGATCTCAACCATTGAAATCTTTGTTAAGTGTTTACTTTCATTACGTTAAAATCTACATTTATAAATAAGTTTCAACTATGAGTCATAGAAAGTTTTCAGAAAACTAATAGTTCTAATTAAATATAAGTGACCAATAAAAGTAACAACATATTTTTGTTAGATTTTTATTTTGACCTAAAATCTAGTTATGTCATTGATTACAAAAGTTTAATATAAATAAAATGTTATATGACACTTAAATAGAAATTTCAAATCAAAATGAAATTTGATATATCAAAGTAGTTGACTCTTGAAAAAGGTAAAAACAACAAAAAAACAAAAAGAAACACAAAAACAACGAAAACAAACATCATTTCTTCATTATGATTGCACTTCAAAAGTAACATTAAATTACATTTTGTATTTTTATATTGAAAGTGAAATTTTGTTTAGAAATGTGATATACTTAAATAAAAAAATACTGTTATACATAAATATATGTATCAAAGTGTCGAATTGTAGAGTTAATTTTTTATATGTCAATAAATTAAGATCTCCACAAAACCCCTTCTGATAATAATCATCTGCTCACTAATGACTGGCTTCAAGAGGCATTTCCTGGAGTTCTAGTGAGAAGCAGTGACCAGTGGAGTTCAACCAGGTCTGTTGTGAGATATCAGCTCACTGAAGACAATGGTGTACGGTGGCGCAATTTCATGGATTAGTTGAAGTTAGAAATTAACGCCGTTGAATGCCGGCTCAGTGGTCTAGAGGTTAAGTGTTTATGCGCGAGACTGATAGGTCCTGGCTTAGAATCTCGTGGGGGTGGGATCGTAGATGCGCATTGCTGAGGAGTCTAATACGAGGACGAAACGGCTGTCCAGCACTTCCAGATTTTCCATTGTTGTCTAACTTCAATTGACTTATGATTTAACTACTGGAACTTAAACATGTTTAAAGTTTTTCGTGTATGAGGAATAAATTCATTAAATGTAATTTGTAATATACATCAACATATTTCTATTCAGAGATATGAGTTTAATTCACCATCTACGAGATCAGAATGTTCTGGATTCAGTTCATGTTAGAATCATAGATATGTACTGAAGAGAAATTTCACACTAGAACAAATTAAATTTTAAGATTAATTTGTAATCAATGATTATTTAGTGACTGTCATTCCTTGTAGATCATTTTCAAATCAAGATAATTTTTTTGTCAAGATAATGATGCATTAATTTTGAAACTTTGTGATATAGAATGGAAATTTATATGATATTATACCGATTTAATGATTTTTTATTAATATGCAATCGGTATATCCCTCACTATAATACTATTATTATTCGTTATACAAAATGTCAAAAAGTAAATTTCATACTCTTCAAAGTACCCATCATTAATGGAAAAACTCATGTCTGATCACTATTTCCATCCCTTAAAATATCCCTGGAAGTCTTCAGTTATTATGATCTTCAACCCTCTCGTTGTTTAAAATGTTTTTGTCTCCATAGATATTTTGTTAGATGCTTGTGCAAAAACAATTCTTCCAAATCAACTTTTACTGTAACCAATTGTAAAATAGGTGGAAAGTCATCCTGGTCTTGGGTTGTTTATGTATTATTCGCATCCTTAAGTGATAAACGTTACTTTATTATAAAGACCCTAAGTTTTTATGAATTTTCTGTTTTTTTCTAAGTTCCAGCAAAAAATGTACATGGCTCAGTGGTCTAGTTTGTTAAGTGCCTGGCGCGAGACTGATAGGTCCTGGGTTAGAATCCCTCGGGGGGCGGGATCGTGGATGCGCACTGCTGGGGAGTCCCATACTAGAACGAAACGGCCGTCCAGTGGTCTAGCTTCAATTGATTCATGATTTCAGCTATTGAAATTACCAATTCTCCACAAAACCCGTTCTAGAAATTTCGTAATGTAAAATAATTTCTCAGGATAGTGTTCATCCACGATAAAATGACAGGACGTTCGAATGTATATTCCCATTACAGGTAGTGGTTAAAATATACCATTGATTCGGAACCATGTTTATTCATACTTTGTAGATAAAATGTTATTATTCTGTATATTGGTTTACGTTGTAAATGTTCGATTTCGTTTTTTCTTTTTTTATGAAAACGCTCTTGGTTTATGGGAGTGATTAAGACTTTACCAAATGTTACATATCCACCATTTTAAGAACAGAATTCTCTTATCTCTATTTATGAGCGATTGTTTGGTTGCATTCCTCACTCAGTTATATTTCAATAGTACTGTAATTTAATGTGTAATCTACGGATAGATTCATTGCCAACATAAAAAATGAAGAAATTTATTGAGTCAATGATAATAATGAAATGGATCACATAACTGATTATAACAAGTAAGAAATAAAAACTAATATTAAAATAATTAATGGACTATTAATAATAAGAATAAGAAATACAACGTGAATAAGAATTTGCACATAGAAAGTTAGTTAAAACTCAAGAAGATAGATTACACGCAACTAGTTTCCTTTACGAATTTCAATAAACCCAAACACAACAATTGAGGCAGAATTATTTCTTAGTTTCCCATCAGCTGCTTACAACCAGATATATATTAAAGTGTAACATTAAAGAATGATATCATGTGAAGTGACAGTGATGATGGGAAAAATGTCAATAACAAGGATTATCAGTGATTATTTGTATATACGAACAGGTTGGGACCACTTAAAAATGAGATTCGAAAACATCAGAGAAGTGAGATTATAACAACTGAAGAGCAGAAACAGATAAGATGGGTCGCATGAAAATTATTGAAACTATGAAGAGTTTACAAAAGATTAAATTAACTTGAATATCGATATAAAAAACGTTTAGATATGGGTTGGTAATCGTCTAGAATTAGAAATTGATGAGATGCGTTACATAATAATTAAACACTATTTGTAGAGTTTACACAATGTAGAGGATTAAACAAATGGAAAAAACCGATGGATGAAAGGATGATTTCGGTGAACATGAAATAAGAATCAATTTGGCGAAGATCACGTAACAAAATGAACACTAATAAAATAATGATCATGATAATAACGAAAAATAATAATTACAGGTAAAATTAGTCAAATCTATGAATTTATCAAGGTAGTGATAGTCTGTTTACTGTCTCTTTCTGAACACACAAATAAGGTTTGAATTTCTTTATTGCTAATGCTTTTAAAAATCAAAGAGGGACTGAGTGTTTTGTTGGTTGGTAGTTTTGAAGGATTGTAGAATGTCAATGTTATACCTGGTATTAACTAAATCCCTAGTTACTATACTATACGGAGCCACTACTCCTTCCAGTCTTAAATTATTTTGAGCGTACATGGAAATGAGAACACACATTCTATTCTCTCTGTTCGTCTAATGTATGTGCTTTGGTACGTATGTGCAAAATACATCATATCATCTCAGAGCTATTTACCCTGATTGATACATAATATAAATCACAAAATTGCATGAAAATATAATGGTTTAGATATTTTAGAATTAAGCTAATCATTAGATTCGTTGAAGATAACTTGATCTTTTTGATGGAGTTTCGTTTTCTATGCAAATTATCCACCTGAGCTACAAATCTCCACTTTTATATTCATTAATCGCTTGATTGAAATGAATGAGATAGAGGCAAATATTCCTTGCATAATGGGTAATCTTGCTCTTTTGGGATAATATCACGTATCAACTTGTTATTCAAACATGTCAATGAATAAATGTATTCGTTCATTTAAGTGATGTGTAAGAGTTATTCATACTTTGGAGATTCGTATCATTCATTGATGTTTTGTAGTTCATATTGCATTAGCAGAATGCACTTATGATTTTGTACTGGATAAATACTACGTACTTCAAACCTCGTGATTAGAGTATTATCATTCACTTCGTTTATTCATTACATTTTTTTATCTTTATTTGTTTTCAAAGAATCCTAACTCTCATTTCTTACCTATCACAATAAAAAATCTAATCAAAATAACACAGTATAAAATTTTGCAGTTAACATTACACCATCTTATCTCAACACAGTGCACGCAATTTCGAGTCACCTAGACTAGTGGCCACATTAAAACTTGGTCGATAGCATTCAATCTGCACTAAGAAAGAAATAACACACATGACATCAATCACCGTCCAGTGAACAATAAATTGTGAACAACACATTATACCAACCGAAAATGAATAATTCAAATGCGTAATTTAAATATTCATTCTGATCATTGAAGCTGATTCCTTTTATCATTACTATTATGTTATTTTTCATCAGTTAATCCAATCAAATCAATAACTTTCATGAAGACTATGTGATAATAGAAGAATTTATATGATCCTACAATTTACCAATTAAATTCAACATGAATCGCATGTCTCACTTGTCAAGAAGTAACACATTCAGTTTGTTTTTCTTTAAAAAAAACAGGGTTTCAATTATAATTGGTTCATTCAAATCACTGATAGGCTGAAAAAATGTTTTAACCAACAGTAAATTGGTGCGAGTGAATAAATTATTAATTCTTTTTTTTTTGTATTCATATGTTTGTCTATTCACATGTTTGTAATCATGTTCCTATTTCACTTTAAAATATATTTTGTTTATTATTATTATTACATTATATCAATGGGCATATTAACACATTAAACTATAAGCACATATATATGCACACGCACATACACAAACAAAAAAATTGAGAATACCCCAAGGGAAAAGATTTCCATGTTCTACCTGTAGTCATGGTTTCATAATATGTAATAAAATTTAAAAAAACTATTACAGGTTATTACAAAACTACCAATAAAAATAAATATAATAATCATTTAAATAATTAAAAATAATATTTATTCAAAAAATATTTTCTTCTGACAAATTTACAATCATTAATTACACTTTTACCTGTAATACAATCATTCTGTATTCATCTTCCATGTAAATTAAAACAAAACAAAAACAAGAAAAGACAATTATTTAATAAATAATTATTAATGTATTTACAATTCATTGTTTAAATTTGTTTATTATTCAAGTTTATATTGACAGTTAAATAATAAATATTTAATTAATTTTTTACACCCACTATAATAATGGTATATTATATCTAATAAATTTAGGTAATTTCCACACCCTTGTCATGAATGTAATTATATACATTTTATTGTTTGTTTGTTTTCAAAAAAGATAGAATTAATATATGAGGGAATATGTTAATTTCCGGTTGTATTCAACGTTTCATCACTATTTCTTGTTTTACTGAGATACATAAAGAAAAATTTGAAACAAAATAAATTTTTTAAAGAAAAAAAACGGTTTATCGGTACTCTCTTTTTTTCTAGAAAATTTTCCTGCGCTATATTTAGATTATAATTTGCAAATAAATCTACAATATGTGTTTTGTTACAATTGATGTATGATAGATGGATCATTCGACATGGAATAGTTAATTGTTCTTTATTATGACTTTAGTAGTGAATTCACTTGGCATTGTTTTACTTAAATCTTCCCATTGATATTTAGGACTGAAATTGATCTGTCTCTTATTGGCATATATGCATACTGTGCGTATTGCCTCGATATTACCCTAATTTACAAGCATTATAAGCAAAGATGCACAAGCAAGTGGCTATCAGGACTCAGTAGCTGAGTGGATAACGCGATGGCGTTTGAGAACAATAGCGCTGGGTTCGAGTCTCTGAGGGAACATCAACTCTGAGATACAGGTACATCCAGCTGACAAGTCCCAAATAAGACGAAACGCGCTTCCTGGATTCCTCTGTTAGCCACTATCCATCTTTGTTTATAATGTTTAGTAGTAAATTTTTCAAAAACATTAATTAGTTATCGAACTATTGAATGAGTCTAGATGATTATTAATTAGTTTAGTGAACAGGTGTTTTATTGTTTTTAATGAATTATATTTTTGCATTATTAGTTTTTCGGGGTTGAATCGCTACCAGACACTGTTAGTGTATGTAAATCCTTACTGAAAAGGTTTTTCTTCACTAAATAAGGCTTGTATAAGAAATGAACTGTTTCAATCAATTAATATCACTACCAGTTTATTCAAAAAAGTTTCTGACAAAACAAATTGCATGATGCAACAGCTAGACAAGTTATATGGAACAATTACAATCTTATGAGTAAAGAAATTGTGATAAAAAAATGTAGCGAGAGAATGTTTAAGTTGTTTAAATCAGAAAGAATTCTCATTTCAAAACGATAAAGTATCTGACTGCTTGTAAGTAGATATGCGTTTCAAAGTGTGATATCAAATCTACAGGATTTTGATAAGATAAATAAGCCTTACATCTTATTCTCGTTTGTATAGTACTAATCAATTAACAAGAACGCACGATGGAATATGATAACAGGCACGGATATACTGATTTAATACAGTTAACGATTTCCTAAATTCTACCATAAACTTGGAAGCTAATCAACTACTGGTCTTTAAACTAACTGCAACGTAGTTATTAACTTTTTCAAACATTATCGTTG